TTGAGCATTTTGGTTTTTGCTGTACATTTTTAATGCGTTTTCCTTTGTAAAAACTATTACCAACATTTTTTTTGGTTATTTTCAGTTTTTATTTCTTTTCTCTATTATCACTGTCCAGTTTTTCTTTTGATTTTTTATTTTTGTGTTGGTTCGTTATTTTCTTTCTTTCTTTTTCATTTTGTCCTTTTATCAAATTCATGAATAAGATTTTTATGAATATTTTTAGAAAATTTGAAAATATATATTTTAGTTTGTGAACACCTTCTAAATTCATGAATATATTTTCATACAAAAATGATGTCCCGTCAAAGTTTGCCACCATTCAATTTAGTTTCTTTAACTTTCATGCAATTGTTCGAATCTCCACCTTCGTGGTCATTGTTTTTGTCATATATCCTTTTGTTGGCCTATTTGATTTCACTTTTGTCGGCCCATTATCGCGGCACAAATTCACCATCAACACGCAACTAGGGCTAACCCATTTTGTGTTCCAGTTGCAAGCCCACCATTGATACGCATCTCAGGAAGTGGCTGGCCCTTTTGTTCCGGTTGCAACTGCATTCCCGACATGCAACTAGGCCCATCTATTTTTGTTTTAGTTGCAAATCCACCTCTGATACACAATCTGGGCCTGACTCATTTTTGTGTATCAGTTGCAAGTCCACTATCGATGCGCAAGTGGAGATCCGACCCTTTTTATCGCAGTTGCAACTTCTTCCCTGACATGTAACAAAATCTGCCTTTTATGTCATGGTTGCAAGTCCACTCTCGATTTGCAACTCGGTTCTGAGGGGCAACTCTTTTTTCTTTTCTGAGTTGCAAGTTCATCCCACGACATGCAACTAGGGGGCCAACCCACTTTTGCCCCCAGTTGCAAGTCCAACTACACCTTCGACATGCACATGAGGGACCTGTTTATTTTTTGTCTCAGTTGCAAATTCATCCTCGACACGCAAGTAGGGGAGGGTGACCTCTTTGTCCCAGTTGCAACTACACCCCCGACATGCAACTAGGCCAAACTTTTTTTTCTACTTGCAAGTACACCCTCGATACACAATGGGGCCTGACTCATTTTTTGTCCCATTTGCAAGTCCATCCTCAATACGCAAGTGGGGGGGGGGCACGACCCTCTTTTTGTTGTAGTTGCAACTTCTACCCTAACATGCAAATTGGACCTACCTTTTTTGTCATAGTTGCAAGTCCACCCTTGATTTGCAACTGGGGTATGACCCATGTTTTTGTCTCAGTTGCAAGTCCACACCTCGCAAGCAACTAGGCCCTGTCCGACCCTTTTCTTTGTCCCAATTGCAACTTCATCCCCGAAATGGGCCCCGCCTTATTTGTCTTAGTTGCAACTTGTGACGCCCCCGATTCGACCGTACACAAATCATACATGCAAATGTGTACGATCAAGATCAGGGACTCACGGGAAGATATCACAACACAACTCTAGACACAAATTAAAATAATACAAGTTTTATATTACAAGCCAGGGGCCTCGAGGGCTCGAATACATAGCTCGATACACAAGAGTCAGCGGAAGCAACAATATCTGAGTACAGACATAAGTTAAACAAAGATGCCTTAAGAAGGATAGCCCAAAAGCAACAACGATCGAAGAGGCAAGGCCTCCAGCTGCCTGGGACCTCCTAACTACTCCTGGTCGTCGGCGGTCTTCACGTAGTAGTAGGCACCCTCCGAGGTAGTAGTATCCGTCGTTGGTGGCATCTGGCTCTTCGGCTCCACCATCTGGTTGCAACAACCAGAAAGAAGGAAGAAGGGGGGAAAGAGGTAGCAAAGCAACCGTGA